TTGCCAAAAAGAAACCCTTTCGACTGCCAGTTTAGATTAGCTGTACTCTTGATTTCATCCATTGCTGTGAATAATCAAGAATTTTCAGAACTTCCCACTATTCCCAAGGGAGAGTGTGGTACAGATCCAATCCCACATGTTATACTCATCCTGTTAGTTCCTACTGTTAATGTGAATAAATAAGAAATCTGATTTGACTAAACACCACCCCAGGCTGCGTGATGTAGCAAAAGGCTAATTTATTTTTGACCTACTACTTATGTGTGAACATCTGACTCAGAGCCTCTTGCCTTCTCTCCAGAGACTCAAGCAGCTAAGTTGATGAAACACCTGAATACTATGCAGCAGAACTTGGATTCATTTCTTCTCTCTTCTAGCTCTTTGCTCTAAACATCTGTTTTCCCCTGCAGAGGCCTGGATTCATCAGCAGAACAATAACACAGCAATCCTATATATAACTGTATTCTTGACAATGAAACTTCAATGCCTGTGGAGTGTTCTCCTACTCTCTACTCTCTATGACTTCCTAATTACCCTGAAAATCTAGTCACTGACACTAATGTTTCTGTATGTTACCACAGTCCACCAAAATAACTACCAGTCATCTGTACCATATTGATTTGTGCTGACTTTGCTGGAGTGGGTACCTTTGTTGCCTTCCAAACACCCATTCTCTTTTCTTCCTTCCTAACAGAGCCATAATTTTGCTCAGGTGTAACACAGCCAAGTGCCTCAGAGGAAGGTGACTCCCACCAAAGTCAATCCCTCCAAGGATAATGCCACTGTTTTTGGAGTGAGTGGATCAGGCACAGGCTAATAACCCAGGGATAGCCAGTGAGATGCAAGAAAAAGCCTGCTAAGATTCCTCCCTTGTTCTCCATAAAGAGCCACTGGAAGGCTCTGTGGGTTGTCTTTTTTAAATGGCTGCCTGAAATTGTTGCAGCAGTCTTGCTAATTAGCCCGAAGATGCAACCAGCACTGAGGATGGCAGAACAGAGACCCAAAGAATAACATTCCAGATCGTGAGCTTCAGGCCAGTGCTCTTATGTTAAAATACTCTACTCCTAGACTCTTTCTGAGGGATGACTTTGTGTGTATGGGGGGGGGGGGGCCGGGGCGTGTCTTGGAGATATGAGGTAAAGGTCCTAGACTTATTTCTTGGAACTAATTCGACTCAGCTAATTCAGTGCTAGTCCAAGAATCATTTTCATTAATTCACAATAGCTATAATCACAGTCAATGCTAGTATTTTCAGGAAATATTCATCATTGGTAGCAATAGGATATTCAAACCAAAACATGTGAAAGGAAATAGTATCATTGATAAAGACAAAAAGAAAACAGGAGCTTAAAGAGAAAAAGTAAAGACCTCTGAGAGCTCTTCTTTCCTGTTTACAGAAGCATTCTGTTGCCTGAGATGTAATGTATGAAAAACCCCTGAGATGAAAGCAGAAGTCAACTGTACAGGAAAGATGGGTAACACATAGGACAGAACTCACTAAGATCCAGAGAGTGACATCTGACCGAATGGTAGGATTGTAGAAACAAGGATGCTGGACCAAAATTAACTATACATTGATGATGGCTATTAAAAGCCCTGAGATTGTAAATCAACTAGACTTTAATTTTTTAATGTAAGAAAAAATAAAAATAATCAAGGAAAAAAGCGAAAAGTGAAAGCAATGAAATATCCTTTATGTGTGATATTGTTAGTTCATGATCAATAAGACAAGCCTTTCAGCTACTTTTTCATTTTGGTGAAGGATTAGCATTGAGACAGCCACACCAAATTATCCAATGCTTCTTTGAAGACAGGTGGCCAAGGTGAAATGTGAAAATTCCTGAATATCTGGAAGCTTCAGCTTCCTTACTTGTAATTAGAGATAATACATAATCCAAAGGTTTGTGGAGAGGATAAAGTAAGATGGTACATGTGAAGCCCAGAGCAAGTGTTCTGTATACTGTAAAATCCCAATTTTTAAGTTCCTTTTCTCTTCTCCCACCCCTAACTTGACTGAAATGATCATTGTTCCCTTGGAGTATTAGTGAGTAATTAGAGCCATAATTGTAGAGAACTATTTGATTTGGGGCAGCCATTCCCCACAGATGGCTGCAGGCAGAACTGAAAGTCAGCTCAAGCTTCCTCCGCTCCTCAGAATCAAATGCTCCCCAAAGGACTCCCCATGGATAGCCTAAGAAAGAGCTTATCTAGTACAATTATACTAGAGCATAATCATTTGTCTCTATGAATTTCTTCACCACTCAATTAGAAGTTGTTAAGAAGAACCCAGAGCCTAGAACAGAACCTGAGCATAAAAGATGCTCAGTGAGGAAGGGAGGCAGGAAAAGGAAGAAGGAGGGTGGAGGCAACAACCAATCGAATGGTGACGTTTGGCTTCTAGACCAGGGCTGTCTGCTCTAAGTGTAATCCCAGCCCTGAAAGTGAGCTACATTTGTAACTTGATATTTTCTGGTAGCCACATGAAAAATACAAGAAGAAACTGATGAGATAAATTTTAATAAGACAATTTACTTAGTGCAATATATCTAATACACTATCATGTCAGCATGTAATCAATATAAAAAATAATCATGGGATTCTCAACTTTTTGTATTGTCTTTAAGGTCTAGTGTGTATTTTACCCTTATTGAACATCTCAATTCAGACTAGACACATTTCAAGTGTTCGCTAGACACGTGTGGCTAGAGGCCTCCATATTTAAAGTGCAGCTCCAGACTCTATTCACCTTCTCTGCATGCTTCTCCCATTTCAGAAGCCCTGCCTCCGCTGCAGCAGTCCCACCCACTCCCCTTCAATATATCACTCCAGTCGATAACATCCCTAATTCACTCTAACTTATGACATGTATTCACCCCAAATCCCAGATTCCTGCCCTAAAATTTGTATTTAATCTGGTGCTCTTGGATATTAAAGTGGCCAACAGTGCCAAGTGACAGCCTGAGTGTTAATAGATTGTGGGACAGAAGACTTTTTCTTCACACAAAGGATCTATATACATCCTATATTGTGAAAAGAAATGGGAATAGGAGTTTTTGCCAGCCCACTCTATGAAGGCACCTAATCAGGTCCCAGGGTACACCCGAAGATGTGGGTAAAATAGAGCACAGACACTCATTTGCCTTCATATTCCCAGTTCCAAGCATGGTGTCTGGCATATAAAGAGGGCAATAAATATTGGCATTAAATGTGATTGGTATTAGTTAAGAATAATAAGTGAGAGTTCAATCAGAGCTACTTTGGGAATTCATGGAGTGTGACTAACAGATTTCTTGGGATTTAAGTGAAAGAGTCAGTCTTTTATTAGAAAGCAGGAAATTCAAAAATGACATAGTGGGAAAGAAATAAGATGGCAGAAATCCCTTAAAGTCCATGAATCAGAAAGCAGAGGGCATATGTTTAACATTCAGGGATTGTGGAAATGGATATTTATGTATTCATTCAACAAATATTTCTTAAGCCAGTCTCTGTGCTAGGCATGGCCACATAAATGTGAGCAAGACATTAGCCCTGCCCTAAGGGAGTTTTAGACTAGAGAAGAGACAGATATGGAAATAAATCTGATGTTCCTACCTTCCTACCCTGTGATGTAATGAAAGGTATGCTAGAATGGAAATATTTACAAAAATGGAATGGGGTCAAAGAGGAAGGAGTGACTATTTAGGGAGTTCTAGGATGGCTTTATAAAGGAAGAGAAAATAGACCTTGAAGGATGAGTAGTTGTCTGCCGGGCAAATTTAACATGTACAAAGGCACAGAGGCAGCAAAGTACATGCAACGTCCTACAACTGAGAGTAATTCAGTGTAATTGGAGCAGAGCATGGGGTACAAAGTAGAGAGAGGTCGAAGTTGATGTTGAAAATGCAGACTGAGCCCAAATCATAAAAGATCTTACATCCTCTGCAAAGGAATTTGGACTTTCATCTAAAAGCAGTGTGGACTCACACAGATAACAGACATGTAGCTGCCAAGGGCAGTGGGAGGAGGGAAGGATTGAGAGGTTAGGATTAGGGGATGTAAGCTAATATACATAGGGAATAAACAAGGTCCTACTGTATAGCACTTGCTCCTTGGAAGGAAAGCTATGATAAAACTAGACAACACGTTAAAAAGCAAAGACATCACTTTGCTGATAAAGGTCTGTATAATCAAAGCTATGGTTTTTCCAGTAGTCATGTATGGATGTGAAAGCTGGACCATAAAGTAGACTGAGCACTGAAGAACTGATGCTTTTGAATTGTGGTGCTGGAGCAGACTCTTGAGGGTTCCTCAGACTGCAAGGAGATCAATCCAATCAATCCTAAAAGAAATCAACCCTGAGTACTCATTGAAAGGACTGTTGCTGAGGTCAAAGCCCCAACAGTTTGGCCATCTGATGTGAAGTGCCAACTCACTGGAAAAGACCCAACTCACTGGAAAAGACCCTAATGCTGAGAAAGACTGAAAGCAAAAGGAGAAGTGGGTGACAGAGGATGATATGGTTAGCATCACTGACTCAATGGACATAAATTTGAGCAAACTCCAGGAGATAGTGAAGGACAGCAGAGCCTGGCATGTTTCAGTTCATGAGGTCACAAAGAGTCAGACACATCTTAAGAGACTAAACAACAATGATTGGCTAGAACAGGGAACTATATTCAATATCCTGTGATTAAACCTAACGGAAAAGAATATGAAAAAGCATATGAAAAAAGAATGTATGTATAACTGAGTCATCACTTTGCTATACAGCAGAAATTAACACAACATTGTAAATCAACTATACTTCAACAACATTCAAAAAATAAACAAAAGCAATGTGGAACCAGTCAAAGTTTTGGTTTTTTTTTTAATTTTTTTATTTTTTCCATTTACTTTTATTAGTTGGAGGCTAATCACTTTACAACAGTGCAGTGGTTTTTGTCATACATTGAAATGAATTAGCCATGGATTTACATGTATTCCCCATCCCGGTCCCCCCTCCCACCTCCCTCTCGATGAACATTGGGGTGCACGTGTCTCTTTCAGATCTGAACCAGTCAAAGTTTTAATATGGCACATGATGGATAGACTTTCCCTGCCCACCTGAAGTTAGAAATGATCATATGACTTGTTCTGGCCAGTGGAACGCAAAGAGAAGTGCTGGGTGTCACTTCCGCATGGATGTTTAAGGGTCAGTGCGCGCTTCACCGCGCTCTCTTTTACCAGATTGCTGGTCTCTCCCGCCAGCGACTCACAGTCTTCAGAGACCGGCTTTTCTGTCGGACTCAGTTCCTGAGTGGTCACAGTGAATGACAGTGGGCTTGGAGCAAGAGGAAGAAACAAACCCTGGTTGTCTTAACCACTTCGATTTAGAGGTTGTTTATTACTGCAGCAAAACTTCAGGAAGCAAAACTTCCTGACTGATAAAGCAATGGAATAACATGATCAGATTGATATTTTTAAAAGGCAACTGATGGCAACATAGAGAATGAATTAGAGGTAGGAGAGGAGGTTAATTAAAGGCAAGGAAACCAATACTGCAATAATCTAGTAAAGAAATGATAATGGCCTAAAATTAGAACACTAATAGTGCCAATAAAGAAGATGAGCTATACTTAGGAAATATTTAAAGAGCAAAATCAACAAGAATTCAGTGATTAATAAAATGTGGTTTATAAATATTTTAGTCATCTGTTTCTTTACAACAAATTCCTCCAAAGTGTATCAGCTTAAAATAATGATAAATATATCATCCCACAGTTTTCTGTGGGTCAGGAGGTTCAAGAAGAGCTTAACTGATGGTTCTGGCTCAAGATCTCTCAGGTTGCACTCAAGATGTTGTCCAGGGCTGCATCATCTGAAAGTCTGATTGGGGTTAGAGGATCCATGACCAAAATGGTTCACTCATATGACTGACAACTTGATGCTCACTGTTGACAGGAGGCTCCAGTTCTTTCCTATAAGGACCTCCCCATAGAGCTGCTTGAGTATCTTTCTGACATGGCCACTGGCTTCCTCCAGAGAAAGTGGCCTAAAAGACAATGAAATGAGGTGGCACTTTCACTGATAACATAACCTGGGAAGTCACACACCATCACTTCTAATGTATTCTTTGGTCAGACAAACCAACCATGACACATTGTTGAAGGGGACCTTAAAAAGATTCAAATAGCAGAAGGTGAGGATAATTGGAGGCCATCTTGGAGCCTGACTACTACAATGAACAAGATGGAAGTTAACAAAAAAAGCTGACTCTGAGAATTCTGGCTTGAATGATTCAACAATGGAAGTAAGCATGAGACAGAACACAAGAGAAAAAAAATCAGTCTCTAAGAGGAGAGAGGAGATATAGTTCATTTTTAGATCTGCCATGTGGAAGACATACAGAGATGACTAATCATCATTTGAAAATAGGAAGTTCCTAAGAGAGGTCAGAGTTGAGGATTTAGGAATCAATATTATCTAAGTGGTGAAGGAAGCCAAGGCAGAAAATAATATGGTCCAGGAAGGATGTGCAGAAAGAAAAGGGAAAAAACAAAACCAGGAAAAGAAACATATGGAGAGAGACCTTCATTCAAGGAAGAGAGGGGAAGAGGAAAAGCCAGCAATAACAATGACACGGGAAAGAATCAAGGAAGGAAGCAGAGAATGAGGGCTATCTGGACATGAAAGACAATAAAGGAGGCAGTTCAGTGAAAGTTTCAGCAACAATGCCAAGTGGCATGCATAAAGCAGTCAGTAATATGAGCAAGCCCACTGGACCTCACAGTTAAGTAGACTGGCCGTGTAGTAAACAGTCTCAGTAGAGGTGGGTGCCGTGTAGTAAACGGTCTCAGTAGAGGTGGGTTTGGGGGCTTGCCTAAATGCATTTTTTCACCCTTGAGATTAAACATTTCCTCTTGTGCAATGGAGGTAACTTCCCTCATAACAGCTCCACAGTGTAATATGAGTGCAGAACAACCACAACTCACCCATTATATAACTAGAAGGTACATTCATGAAAAACTCTCTTTATCACGGATGCATCATGCTCCATCCATGGGTGATGAAGGATGAATGAATGGGTCAAAGCACTGTCTCCTTTGCCCAGATAACCATGCCTTCAGGAAAAGCTTAGGACATTGATAATCTTCTTAGGGCAACCAGGAAGCTGTCTAGAGTTAAAGGATAGAAATACTACAAATTAGAATCACAGGATGAAAATGATACAAGAAATCATCTTAATGAATTTTTCATTTTAAAGATAAAATACGACCCAAGAAGATTAAGTTACAAGCTTACAGTCATATGGTTTTTTTTTTTCTTTTTCCTACAGCTAGGTCCAGGCATCTGGACATTCTGTCCAGTGCCCTCTTAACTCAATCCCATTACTTCACATTCATGTGCACACACTCACACACATATCTACAACTCTGCATCAGGAGAAAACGATGCTCTAACAGGCATCTCCAATTTAACACAGCTAAAACAAGTTTTGACTTTGTTCCTCCAAATGTGTCTCTCCCTGTCTCCCCGATAACTGTACAATGTACACCCACCCACACCCTGGAAATCTCCCTAGATGTCTCTCTCACACCCTCACATCCCACACCTCATTTGTTAGCAAGTCCCACTGGCTCTATCTTCAGAAAATTCCCAGAAAAAGACCACCTCCCACCACCCTGGTCTGAGCACCTTGATTTCTCTCCTGAGCTGCTGCAGTGGCCACCTGGCCGTGCTCCCTGCTTTGCATCTTCTCTGTCATGGTCACAGCAGCCTGAGAAATTCTTATTCTTCAAGTTATAAGCCATGTCAAGTCATGCCTCTTCTCAAAACCCTCCAATGCTTCCCATCTCACTCAGAATAGAATCCAAACGCTTTCCCACGCTCTGTAGGCCCCCACATGGGCTGCAACCTCATTTCCTAGAACTCTCAGACGCATTCATTTCACTCTAGCCACACTGGCCTTTTGGCTGCTCTTCAAACACCCTGAATTCACTCCTAGCTTAGAGTCTTCACAAGCACCCTTCCCTCTGCCTGAATGTCCTTCCCAGAGATTCTCCCACAATTCACTCCCTCACTTCATTTAAGTCTCTGCTAAAATACTACCTCTTCAGAGAAGCCTTCCCTGGCCACTTTATCGATATGAAATAGAGAACCCTACACAGACACAGAAAGCAAACTTAAGGTTATCCGAGGAGAAAGGGGGTGGGGGAGGAATAAATTAGGAGTTTGGGATTCGCAGATATAAACTACTATACACAAAAGAGATAAATAACAAGGTCCTACTGTATAGCACAAGGAACACTATATTCAACATCCTATAGCAAACCATAATGGAAAAGAATATGAAAAACACATATATATACACAACTGAAATTAGAAACTAGACAGAAATTAATACAACATTGTAAATCAACTATACTTCAATCAAAAATAAAATAAAATAGAGATTCCTGCCTCCCCAACATTCTCCATCCTTTTATTCTGTTGCTCTGCTTCATAGCATGACCAACACCTGACACTGTTTTACAGTTTTATTTATTACTGCTCTTTTCCTGGTGGAATTTAAGCTCTATGGAGGCATTTTGTTTACTAAAAAGTCCTCAATACCTTTAAAAAAATCTGGCCCATGGTTGTTGTTCAGTTGCTAAGTTGTGTCCGACTCTTTGCAACTCCATGAACCAGGCTTCCCTGTCCATCACTATCTCCCTGAGTCTGCTCAAACTCATGTCCATTGAGTTGATGATGCCATCCAATTATCTCATTTTCTAATCACCCCCTTCTCCTCCTGCCTTCAATCTTTCCCAACATCAGGGTCTTTTCCAATGAGCTGGCTGTTTGTGTCAGGTGGCCAAAATATTGGAGCTTCATAGTAGGTACCCCCAAAATATTTGTTGAGTAAATCAATTAGGATTGAATTCTAAGATCTAGAAATACTCAAACAGCAATATTATTTTTAGCCAATAGAAACTTAATCCAGGGAGGGACTTAGCAGAAAGTGGAAGCAGATATGTCATGGGCATTGCTACATTCGACACAGTTGCCTTGGGTTTTGAAGACAATGCATCACAGCAGCCCTGAAATCTTTGTCTAGGATCAAATTCCAGCCCACTAATATGCTCAGGAGCCAGTGACCCTGAAAAGACAGGAGGTGATATAGAAAAACCAAAACTCATTAACAGCTTGAAATTAATAGCTCTGGGCCTGTATTGTCAGTATTTACTGAGCCTCCCTCACTCCTAGACATCCTGATGGGAAATTACAGAAATAAACTCAGTCACAAAGCAATAAAGGGCACTGCTATAAGGGATTCAAATCCTCTCATTCATTTATTCATCTTTTCCATTCACCCAGCACTTTCTTTGAGTAGATACTATGTGTCAGACACTGCTAAGTTAAAATCTTTTCTGAAATAAATAATGTTTGCTACTGTTTTTGTTCCAGTGATCATGCTTATTTCATCCCTGTCACCATCATCTTCATCATTATTTCTGCCATGCTGGAAGCATGTGAAGGTCACCATTGGAACCCAAGGAAAGTTATCTAGATGTCTGCTGACTCATGGTTCCTATGAGGGGGAGAAATGATGACATAGATCAAGCAGTCTCACCTATACCTCCCAGAAAGTCATTTTATTCTGAGAATTGATCTTTCTATCTTGGATCGTAAAACCTAAGTTACCTGAGTTATAGGGGTGAAGGGGAATAATCGGGCTAATTTCAGAGAAGAAACTCCATTCCCCTTATTGTTGTTGCTGTTCAGTCATTCAGTTGTGTCCACCTCATTGCAATTTTTCTCTCTCTCCCAGCAATCTTGATTCCAGCTTGTGCTTCATCCAGCCCGGCATTTCGCATGATGTACGCTTCATATAAGTTAAATAAGCAGGGTGACAATATACAGCCTTGACATACTCCTTTCCCAATTTGGAACCAGTTCCCTGTTCCATGTCTGGTTCTAACTGTGGTTTCTTGATCTGCACACAGGTTTCCCAGGAGGCAGAAAAGGTGGTCTAGTATTCTAGTATTCTAATATTCTAGTATTCTAAGAATTTTCCACAGTTTGTTGTGATCCACACAGTCAAAGGCTTTAGTGTAGTCAATGAAGTAGAAGTAGATATTTTTCTGGAATTCTCTTGTTTTTTCTATGATTCAATGAATGTTGGCAATTTGATCTCTGATTCCTCTGCCTTTTCTAAATCCAGCTTGTACATCTGGAAGTTCTCAGTTCACATACTGTTGAAGCCTAGGTTGGAGAATTTTGAGCATGGCCTAGCTAGCATGTGAAGTGAGTGCAAGTGTGCGGTACATTGAACATTCTCTGGCGTTGCCCTTCGTTGGAATTGGAATGAAAACTGCCCCTAATTTGGCAATACTCTCCCAGTTTTAATTTAATCCTCAGAATCAATAATAATCTTCATTAGGATGATAATAGATAAATGAATGACTGCAGTACCTGATATTTTTGTTTTCCTTCTGAGAGTTTGAGCTGGGTGGGTACCATAATCTTAGCTTTTCACATCATATTTTCAAATACATCACGATACAATAGAAACTATTTAAGAAATAAGAAGACGCCAGCCAACTGTTGACATTTAGAAATAGTCCATGATGACACTGGAGAAATGAAATGTTTCAATTCTGCAACATTTTTCAAAGACCTTCAGTCAGGCCTAATGCCTTCAGAAATAAATGAAGGGGAAAGATGAATTGCTGTGCTAAAATTCTGGCAAAGAAACAACTGAAAGCTAACTTTGAACCCATCAAACACATCTGCTTCTGTCTGATCCTCACCAAGAACTCTGCAAATTTCCTTCAAATTCTACTCTGACTTCCTTCCAAATATCCATAGGACTTTCCTTCACTCCCAGGGGGATTTGTTGTCACTAAGTACTCCAAACATGATGCATTTATTTCCTTGGGCTGCTGTCACAAATTACCATTACCACAAACCAGGTAGCTTTAAAAAATGGAAATTTATTCTCTCACAGTTCTAAAGACCAGAAGTCTGGGATGAGAGTGTCAACAGGGCCATGATCTCTTTGAAGACTCCAAGGAAAAATTTTTTCTTGCTTCTCCCAGCTTCTGGTGGTAGCCGGCATCCCTGGCTTTGTAGATGCATCACTCCAAGTTCTGCCTGGTCATCACAGGGTCTTCCCCCTTCTCTGTGGGTCTCTGTGACCAAATTTCCTTTTTCTTACAAGTCTTTGGGTCTAGGGGCCCATTCTAATCCAATGTGGCCTCATTTTAACTTGATTACATCTGCAAAGACACTATTTCCAAATAAGATCACATTCACATTCAAGGCATTAGAACCTCAAAATATCATTTTGAAAGACACAATTCAGCCCACCAAAATGCCCAAACTTTGGGTCTTCTACTCTGAGAAAATCCCACCATTGGCCTTCCCTCTTTCCTTCCTTTCAAAAGATGAAGTGAGAGTCCTACATTCAAAAGATTTAGACCTACCTAGTAGGAAGATTCAGTGTACACATAAATCACAAAACAAGGCAGAAGTGGTAATTGCCATGAGAGTCATAAACACAGTGACACAAAAATACAGAGAAAAGAAATCAATTCCTGCTGGGGAGAATCAAGCAAGACATTTGAGCTTGACCTTGAAGACTATATTACATTTGGATTTTCAGGATTAGTAAAAAAAAAATCTCCAGTTGAGCTGGGTGAGCAAAGGTACAGAGGCAAGAAAGCATGGCATGTTGATATGTTTCTCAGTGTCAAGAACCCCCTCCCCTGTGTCATTGCTACAAATACATTTCATAAGTGTTCAAAGAGATTAAAAGGAAAAGCACCAAAAAGCAAACTAACAGGAATCGTCTCCAGGAGGTGAAAATTTCCTTTGTGGTTTTATATTTTTTCTAATTTTCTTCAATGCTTTATGACTTTTTCTCTTTTTTTGCCACACTTTGTGGCATGCCAGGATCCTGTTTCCCTGACCAAGGATCCATTCAAACCTGTGCCCCCTGCAATGGAAGTATGGAATCCCAACCACTGGACCCTCAGGGAATTCCCTGCATTTTTTAAAAATATCATGTATATTTTTATTTTTTTAATTTATTTGATTGGGCTGGGTCTTTGCTGGCACATGCAAGATCTTTAATTGTGGCATGTGGGATCTAATTCCCTAATCAGGGATCTGAACCCAGGCGCCCTGCACTGGGAGAGTGGCATCTATCTCTCCTGCATTATTTTTAATTAGCAAAACAATACTTTTTTTTTTTTCATGAAAGATTTTCAAATAACCTCACACAATCGTCTCCAAAAAGGAGAACAAATTAAATCTTTCCTGATACAGAATTATTACTGCGTGACTTTGATCATGTCACTTGTGACAGGGAGGAAGAAAACCACCAGAGGATGAGATTTGATGGATCAGCCGGTCGCTGCAGACACCGGCATTTCATCCTGTTACTTGACCAAGTAGGTGGGGGAAACGCGGGTTGTCGTTTAGGTGAGCAGTGCCTGCCCTCTGCTGGTGATTCAAAAGTTAGTCACCAAGAGCGAGAGTTTTTCTTCCCAATTTCCCAAAGTGAAGAGACAAGAAATAGAAAGTCTCCCTCCTGACTGGAAGGGGCTTCCCTCGGGGGCTTCCTTGATAGCTCAGGTGGTAAAGAATCGGCCCGCAATGCAGGAGACCTGGGTTCGATCCTGGGTTGGGAAGATCCCCTGGAGATGAGAAAAGCTACCCACTCCAGTATTCTGACCTGAAGAATTCTATGGGGTCCCAAACAGTAGGCCATGACTGAGCGACTTTCATTTTTTGATTGGATTCCTCCGTCTGGGCTCTGAGTTACTTTAAGCGGAGGACAGAAAAGTCTGTTGGTTACCTCTTTCCTTCTTGGGCCAGTAGCACTGGGGCTGGGACTTCAAAACGTCGCTTCCCCAAGTGAGAGGCGTTTGTTCAGTTGGCGGCAAGGCGGGTGCTTCTGTTTGCAGGCGGGTAGGAAAGTAGGGGTGGGAGGCGGCAGCCGCGAGCTCAGTGAGGCCTGGCCCGGCGTGGAGGCCCGGCGCAGCCCGGGAGCCTGAGGCCGGGGCCTCGCGTGCAGGCGCAGCCCGGCTGGGCCGTGAGCCGGCCGCCCTGCGCAAAGAGGCCTCCCTGATGCCGGCTGGGGCCCTGCGGGGCCGAGAGGAGGCCGCGCCAGGGCCGCGCGGAGGCGACGGCGGCAGCGCCGGACGCCCCAGAGGAAGAGCGCTCCGCACCATCCTCCTCCGCCTCTGACGGAGAATTTGACGCTGCGGTGGGATATCCGGCCGATATTATCATGGACGATGATTTCCAGAGATTACAGAGGCATTTCATGGACAAGTACTACCAGGATTAGAAGACATGGAAGACCCTAACAAATGTTTCTGTGGTAGAAAAGGATATAGAAGAACGGGTGTGGCGCGGGTTCCCGGATTTAACATGGCGGCTTCAAAGCGCCATGGAAGATGAAGTGATATTTTCCACAAGGTGCTCACCATGATGGACTCTCTGGCTTTTAAAGAGATATTTCTGGACTGTCGAGCAGGAAAAAAGAAGATCAGGGACTGGACTTCAGCTGCAGTTTAGCGGTGACTTCATTATGTAAATCATCTTCTATGCACCTTCCCAGAACAATCTGCCGCCCTAGGTCCCACCTCCAGGTAATGGGACATCACCAGCCCAATAGACTGGAGAGGCTTTGGATAATGATGTGAGAAAAATGCATCTCGGAAAGACTGACTGTTCTGCAACTCTTCATTAATGTTAAGTATTGACGGGTCAGAAGAAAATTACCTGACATTCTTGGGACGTGCTCATATCTTCAGTAACCCTTGTACTCCTCCCCAAGTGGACACCTCTCAGGGTCTTCTGAGTCTGACTTCTGCAGCGAGCCCAAGTCCAGCATTCCACCTGGGAGCACTTCCCCAGCCTACATGTTGGTTTGTCCCTGGGCCTTGTGGAATAAAGAAGGGTCAGCTAATGAGCACACACAGACCAGCTGCACACCTTTATAAATGAAGGTTTGCTGAAACAGACACATCCACAACATTGAAACTTCTAGGTGGCATGGGAGTGGGGTAGGTGCGGTGGCGGTGCTCCAAGGAGCTCCAGTCCTTTATGTATCAGCACAGAAAGAATTCAGCAAGAGGAAAAGTGATAGATAAAAAGTGATTTATTAGAATAGGATCCTTGTGAGGTTTACAAGCAGGTGGGCAAGAGGGTGCCAGGCCAAGAACTTAGTGGGGAAGTTTTATAATCAAAGAAAAAGTAAGGAGGACAGAAAAGACAACCTTCGTCTTCATTCTTGAGTAGATGTCACATTTCTATCATCGGCTACTTCTCCAGGTTGGACAGGGGAAAGTTTTTGTCCCTACATGGTCAAGCCAGGACTGTCATGGCTCTATGGAAAAATTATTTCAGATCTCAGCACAATGAGGGTCTTTCATGTTGAAATAGCACCTTTCCATAAATTATTGTTTTTTATATGTGCAGACCATGTTCCAGGGGTCATTAACTTACTGTGTTCACTGGGCAGGATGTGGGTCTCAAGCCACCGTTGTTTTACTGTTAGAGGGTATGTCCATGCTTCTGCTGCCTAGGTTTTGTTGCTAAGTAAGTCTCCTTGATTTTGTAGTTAAGAAAATTTGCTTTCTTTTGGGGGAGTGGATATTTTAAATTATTTATTTTTAATTGAAGGATAATTGCTAAACAGTATTGTGCTGGTTTCTACCAAACATCAACATGAATCAGCCACAGGTCTACCTGTCCGCTCCCACTTGAACATCCCTCCCACCACCCCCTTCATCCCACTCCCCCTCGGTTGTCCCGGAGCCCCAGCTTGAGGTCCCAGAGTCATACAGCAAATGCCCATTGGCTCTCTATTTTACATACGGTAATATATATTTCCGTGTTACTGTCTCCATACATCCCACCCTCTCTTTCCTCCCCTTCCCCCCCACCCCCACCCCATCGGTGTCCGTAAGTCTGTTCTCGATGTCTGCGTCTCCATTGCTGCTCTACAAATAGGTTCATCAGTACCATCTTTCTAGATTCCATACATATGCATTAGTGTACAATATTTGTTTTTCTCTGACTTACTTCACTCTGTATCATAGGCTCTAGGTTCATCTACCTCATTAGGACTGACTCAAATCCTTTCTTTTTTATGGCTGAGTAATATTCCATTGTATATATGTACCACAGCTTATTTAATCCATTCATCTGTTGATGGACATCTAGGTTGCTTCCATGTCCTAGCTATTGTAAATAAAGCTGAAATGATCACTGGAGTACATGTGTATTTTCAATTTTGCAAACCTGCTTTCTTGAGGAATCATTAACTTTCAGGGTTCTCTTATATGTCTTTCTTTACTTACAGTCCCCTAATGGGATTAACTATTTATGTCCCTCTGCTCTGTCCCTATCAACATAATTTGTGTGATGTCAGGGCAGCTTTTGTACTGCACAAGCAGAGTTTGGTCTGCTCTAAGTATGTGACACAGGCTATATGACTCTCAAAGCCTAAAATATCTCCTAAAATGCCTGTAAAGAAAGCTCCCCAATCCCTGGGTGTAAGGATAGCTGGAGGGGTCATGGTAGAGAAATCCATGAAGGGAGATAAATAAAATTCAGCAGGAAATTGCTGAATCAAACCCCTGAAAAGAATAGCAAAATGGCAGTGTGTAAGTTAGCACTTGGCTCAGCTGCATATAACAGAAAACCCAATCTTAGACTCTACCAAAATAAAGGTGTCATTGCTCTTACATAAAAGTAAGCAAGAGGTTGACAGTCCAAGGTTAGTTTGGCAGCTCTGTGATCATCAGGGACCTAGGTTCCTGTTGTCTTTCTGTTTCCATCATCTTTAGCAAGAGGTTTTCTTCCTCCAGGTTGTCTCATGGCCCAACATGGCTCCTAGAGCTCCAGTAATTCTATCTGTGTTCCCAGCCAAGAAAGGATAGGGCAAAATAATCTGCCTACCTTCTACCTAAGTCAACTCTCTTTAAGAAAATGACCTGGATTTCCCACTCTGCATTTCATTTCCAACTCACTGGCCACATCAAGCTGTAAGAAAAAGGGACATGTGGTCTCCCACAACACCATGTTCATGAATGCTTCATATTTTTTCCCACTGAATCCTAGAAGAGAGTATTAGATATTAACAGGTACACTAGGATGCTCACATAAGAAATACATACATATCCTTGCCTATCTTGCTATATTAATATTTGTTCATCTCTCAAATATTTGTTGAGACTCTACTGTGTACCAGACACTGTGCTTGCCCCTTGCCGGGCGCGGTGGCGCGCGCCTGTAGTCCCAGCTACTCGGGAGGCTGAGGCTGGAGGATCGCTTGAGCTCAGGAGTTCTGGGCTGCAGTGCGCTATGCCGATTGGGTGTCCACACTAAGTTCGGCATCAATATGGTGACCTCCCGGGAGCGGGGGACCACCAGGTTGCCTAAGGAGGGGTGAACCGGCCCAGGTCGGAAACGGAGCAGGTCAAAACTCCCGTGCTGATCAGTAGTGGGATCGCGCCTGTTAATGGCCACTGTACTCCAGCCCGGGCAACATAGCGAGACCCCGTCTCTTTAAAAAAAAAAAAAAAAGAAAAAGGGACATGTGATCTCCCACAACACTATGTTCATGAATGCTTCATATTTTTTCCCACTGAATCCTAGAAGAGAGTATTAGATATTAACAGGTACACTAGGATGCTCACATAAGAAATAGATACATATCCTTGCCTATCTTGCTATATTAATATTTGTTCATCTCTCAAATATTTGTTGAGACTCTACTGTGTACCAGACACTGTGCTTGCCCCTGAAATGTTCTTTCTTTCTTTAGTTTTTTGAATATGTCAGTATTCTTTTTTGTTATTTCAGAAAATGGAAGGATAGAAGGAAATTTTCAGGTATCATCTGAACCAATATGTTATTCCATGATTAACACATGCGAGTTCTTTTTTCTTTATGTGTAATTGTCACCAAGTGGTACATGTCTTTAGACAGTATGTCCAAATTCTATGGGTTAAAGTGGTTTTGTGTTATGGTTAATGTAAAGGGAACCTGTCTTATAAAAGCACTTGTTCACTGTAACTATTTTTCTGGTGTTTCTCTCTCCCTACTAGACTATCTATTTAAGAACTTCTTTGTGTTTGCTAACTGCAGGTGCTTGACTAAGGTTTGATGAGGGAATGAAAGAATGATCTTCCAGCCTTCAGGCTGAGGATCTTCTGCCCATATAATTGAACTTGGTGACTATTTCCTATTCCCCTGAGACAGACAACAGAGATGCAGGTAAGACTTACATATGTGCAGAACTTTACAGTTTTCCAAGTACTCTCACATACATTAAAAATCATTTTAAGTTTCCATGCTATGTTGTTTCAGTCATGTCCTACTCTTTGCAACCCCATGGACTGTAGCCCGCCAGGCTCCTCTGTCCATAGGATTTTTCAGGCAAGAGTACTAGAGTGCGTTGCTTTGCCCTTCTCCAGGGAACTTTCCCGACCCAAGGATCAAACCCTCATCTCTTAAGTCTCCTGCACTGGCAAGCAGGTTCTTTACCACTAGCGCCACCTGGGAAGTCATTTTAAATTTCAATAAATCCAAAAACTACAACTTGACCACAGGAATGGTAGCAGGTTTTCCTTTTACACTAACTGTCATTAGAAGTTGTTTCCTTCCTTCCAGTTGGTCTACTAAATTGATCTTTACATGCAGAATTTGAAGGTGTCCATTTCAAGTGCTAGAAGAAGTATCACTACCTTCTTCAACTGAAGAAAAATCAAGTAGCAAATTTAAACAGCATCAAAGCCAATCCAGGTTGAGACTTAGTAAAAATGTTTTTAACATAAAATATGTGAAGCAATGGAATTCTTTCCTAAAAGAGGTACAGAATCACCATAAAAAACCGTGGTTCCAAAATTACTCTCATCCCATAGTTTTGCTGGGGAGAAACCTGCAGGAAAATATTTGACCACCAGAGGGTGCTCTCCCTA